AAAAAAAAAAAAGAATTGAATTTTGGAATACTAAACCTCAGATTTGTCACCAGAGGAATCTTCAACATCTTCATCATCAGGCATCATGTTGAGATCAAAACCCCACACAACTTTCCCTTTGTCTTTAATATTGCCACCATTATTATCATCACACTTGAGTTGAGCTTGTTTCTGTTCACCATTCTTTCTCACTTTACGGTTCGAATTCTTGTCCTCGGAAGTCGTAACTTGATCGACCGCATTCACAATGTTGATCTTGAACTTGTTGTGGCTCGATTTGTGGCCACCCAGTGCCTGGTGGGTAGGGAAGACTTTACTGCACATGCTGCATGCATATTTATCCGGGCTCGAATAGCACAAACCATCAGGCCTAACCAACACATTCTCCACAACAGGTTTCTTGAAATCAAAGCTCAGATCGGGATGATCTTCTCGCATTCCGTTAACCAGGACGCCGATGGCCGTGAAAAAGAGGTTGTTGTTTTCGGATTCAATGTGGTCCGGATTTTCGGGCCCAGGTGGAAAATCAGTCTTACCTTTCCCCTTAGTATCGTCCATCTTCACTTTCCCCTTGCCATTGGTATTGATTGTGCAATTGGTGTTCTTGATTTTCACCCGGTAGTTTGTTTTCTGCCTCTTGGACTCATGGGCCAGGGTTTCGGTTTCGGTTTCTTGTCTAGGCTCGGGATTGACCTCAAACCCATAACCTACTTCTTTCTTCACAGCATAACAATCAACTGTGTTATCAGAACCCGGCCCGTAACAATGGTCCCCAAATCCAACTGTGGCCTGATAGCCGTTTTCTTTACCGTCAAGATTCGGTTTGAGCAAGCTGAGAAGTTGGTGCCCAGCCCAAACAGCTTCCTCATCCTCATACTCATCCGAGATTGAAACAGCAAGAGGAGGAGGCTGTGGGCGCCGGCCGCGTCTAGCCTTCACAGGCCACCCCCTCAAAGAATCGCCAAAATCTTGATCTTGGCTCATCCCCAATCTGGGCGGTTCCATCCCTCTCCACTCGCGATCCGGGTGGCACCGCATGTGGCCGTACAGCGACTTCTGGGAATGGAACAGCTTTCCGCATATGGGGCACGCGTTGTCCTCCGACGAGCTCAGGTGGGCCCGGGAGCCCGTGATCTTGGATTTGAGCTTCTTGAAAGAATAATCCTTGCTGGCCTGGACATGGGCGCTGCTCATGTGCCCGCCTAAAGCCTTGCCGGAGCTGAAAATCTTGTCGCACTCCTTACACTGATGCCTCCTTTCGGGAGCTCTCGGACCACCACATATCATTGATTCCGGGGAATTCATAACTTGCCGATCTTCTTCTTCTTCTTCTTCTTCTCCTCCGGTTAAGTCATGTTCTTCTTGATTATCGTCTGAACCACTCTTTTTCCGGTCAGTGGATGATGGGCCGTCACCGGAATTTTCTCGATCTTCTTCATGTTCCATCTTGGGAGAAAGGGGGGTTAAGGAAAACCCAAAAAAATCAGGAAAAGAT